TAAAATATTTGTAAATATATTTGTGTTATGATAAAGTACAGAAAAATAAACACGTACATATATCACTTCTCATTTCATGCGATCAAGTTTTTGTAAGTTTGATACCGTCTTGTACCCGAATCAGAGTGATATCAGGTAATCCCTACTGATTGTTCATTAGAAAGGTAACTACTTAAAGTAATATAATTAGGAAACAAGTACACGAAATACTTACTTGATTGTTCACAATCAATCGGCCTTGTTATTATTCACAGGCTAATTTATTGTCGAAACTACTCAAAACAATGGCAAATGTTTGGATTGTACAAAGAGGAAATCTGTAATCCATTGTAGAAACATCCTCAAAGACTCGACAAAACTGCATTACAATATAGTCCACTAAAATTAGATTACATTTCATCAGTATAAGTTAAATTTAATAAATTTGTAAATATATGAATCGATAGAGGCTGAATGATATTTCTCAGTTATATATAAATATAGCATATAAAATAGAAATATTTAAATATTCCCATCATTGTCTTACCATCATGAACAACTTGAAAATTTTTTAAAGATGCCTAAATTACTCGTCCATGAAAGTTTAGTACATATGATTGTGTCATCATTCCATATAGGCGTCTTATTGTGTAATTCTATTAAATTATTTATATGTTTCAATTTCCAGCGTTCTGAAAAAGCATAAAAGAGGAAATTTCATATTTAATTTCATATTTAATGGCCATTCCATATTTTATATATGTTTAACATAAACAACGTGGTAATATTATGTTGCATAATATTTTAACATGTTAACAAACTTTTAAATTTCTATTCTTCTCATTTTAGATCTGATCGATATTGCTTTAATAGTAAAATTTATACTCAAATTTATATTTATTGTTACGCTTACTAAGCAATGTCTCTGATTTATCTCGCGAACAAATTTCCACCTTCTTTTGATCGGAAGTCATTCCCGGTTTAACGACCGTCATTTTATAGTCCTTTAAAATCTAAAACATTAGTGTCATACACTAGTGCAGCTAATAGTTGTTGCGGATTCGAACGTTCGTCGGGTTTATTCATCAATAAATATCCATTGTCGTAAACCGTGAACTACAATCGCAGAAAATTTGTTTTTAGCTTACCGATTTAAGATTCTCTTCCTCTTAAAAGATCCACAGTGTCACTTGAAATCAGATCATTGCACTTGTTGCACTTTTCTTCTTTCAGCCAGCTAATAGAAAAATCTACATAAATATAAACAAATAAAAACTTGATTATCAAAATAAATAAATGTAAACGTACCTTCTTCCCAGAATCAAGCTCCAATTGTAAGAAATAAGTCGGGTAAAAGCCATGGTTCACACTTTTTCAATTGCAAGTCATTCTACATTTATAATGCATTTTCTTGTTTACAAATTGTACAAACTGTTTGATATGTCCTACACTGCCTTCTAATTCTGGAATCTGTAAAATATGTAAACATATTTATTACACTTAATTCAATATGTATACATCTATATGTACATGTAACTTTTTGTTTCTCTACTATATAAAAACTATAATAAACAAAACATTTACAAAAAGAGTATGAATTTTCAATATGTGAATTGAATTTATAGTCAAGACGTAATATGAATTCGTAATATTACTGACAAAAAAAATGGCCGCGCCATAATTGATTGTAATGCTTCACTATCACTTGCGATTAGGGTAGCCATGAAATGTCCGGGAAAAAAAGAGGACGGATAGCTATCCAACCTCAGAGTAACGCGAGAGAAATAAAGTAAAATATTTACCAACAAGATTCCCTAAAACACCGGACGAGCATAAATCACCGCGGACGTCTTTGGAAAATCCACCCGTTTTCGGCATTCCAAGAAAAAGACGGTGTTCAGGGAAAAGAGGACGGACGGCAAGCTCTACTTGCGATACAACTTATCAATGCGTACACCCGTCACTTTGCGACATGTATTAATTTTCGCGAACTACCGATATTCGCGCGCTAGATAGTAACAAACGCGAAGAAATAACGAAACAATTAGAAAAGAAACGTACTTGAGCTGGCCATTCTTGGAAATGCTCTACCGAGTTCTTGGAAATGCTACTGCCGCGAAACACTTTGACAGCCTTGCATTGTTTTCGACGCGTATGCGGTACTAAATACTTGTTGTTTCAAACGTCCGACACTTTGTGGTACATGCATATCACGAATAGTTACGTGAAAAATGACAAAAATAGTGAAAACTACCTGATTTGAATGATAGAAGCTCCGTCTCGAGTTGCGCGTCGATTACAGAGAAAGTTTCGGTGTTTCTTGTCGCTCGTACCAATTGCAAGCGTAGGTCGCGTCCACATTGTCCAATCGCATTGGTTATGTTTGGTAAAGTGACCAATGAAACAGAATATTGTAAACTCGACCTACGCTCGCGATTGTTGCGCCAAGTGGAACTTACTCGTGATTGCTCGAGTTTGAACATATTGAAATGCGCGGTAAAGCACAACATGCGATTCTCTTTTGTCCTATATGCACGGGTCCAACCCCCTGTTCCGTTATTACTGGCAGTACTGAAAATTTATAGGTTCACGTTACGTATCCTATAGATTGTTCAATACTGCCAGTAATAACGGAACAGGACCCAAGTGTCGAGGAAGATCAAGCAACTGAGGCTAGCACTGAGAGCATATATTTTCAAGTCATCAAATTTTTATCATGTCTTGACGTAATAAAACTTTAAAATTATTATTATATCTTGACAATTTTAATTCACCAAAATTTATTATGTTATTCAGCGCTGGGTTCCATTTCATGTCGTTGGACGTCACGCACACGGACACGGTTTCGTTTGTGTGCGTGCCTCCATCACCGATGCTCTCGATGGTTGGCAGTTCTACTTATCGACAGTAAAGTGGATGTATCACGGATTCAAACCGAATGAAAGTGGATCTAGCACGGACTCTAACCGAGATACAATTGTATCGTATGCGCCTAAAAGTGGAACACGTTTTGTAGTTCATGAGTTCCACGCAAAGTGGAACCCGGCGCTGAAAGTAGCGGCTGGAAACCGTCGTAAAAAAAACAACTATGGCATGGCCACTCTCAGTCTTCTCTCTGATAGGTAATGCCACGGATGACCCTATACATGTCTATGGTTGGTAGAACTGCTCCTAAATTTTATGAAGCACAATTTGAATTGGAATATTATTTGTGTGATATTTCTTTGTCTCTTTTGGTTTTCTTGTGTTTCTCCTAACGTAATCAATGCGATGTAACTACATAAATAACCAGCATTGTTGTTTGCTTTGGAAATAATGGAAAGCGAAATGTAAAACTGATAATTCAAGCGACGACATTTGTTCCTTGAAGTTGGTTTCGAATATCGAACATATTATTCACTTTGCTTACGCGAGCACAGTCAACAGAAAAGTGACACAGTGCTACGTAGGAAGTGATATTGATGGGAAATAGTTTGGTGTAGTAGCGTTGCAGAATACTAGGCCAAAAATCATGGCACGTTTTATTATTAGTTTTGTGGGAATTATCGCGGTGTTTTTGCTCTATATTCAAATCGTTAAGTCAACAGATCAAGATGCGATAACTTCAGTAACAGAATCCGCAATATCGTATATCGATGTATTCAGTATGTATTTATAAGTTATACTGTTATCATATTATATGTGTACGTATATTAACTTGTTTATTGAAAGATAATTCTTTTGCCAGAACTTTCTCTTATTAAAGAACTTGAACAATAGTCAGTGGCTGCGTTCGGGGAGCACGCTACATATCAGCGCTATTGCGTCATTCTGTCCTTGTTTTACATCTAATGAGCAAGAAAGATATAATGAGATGCAGCGCTGATAACACGCTTTCCGAACGCAGCTAGTTAAAACTTCATGTATAAACTTTGAGTGTATGTGTGATTATGAGATAACATGTATAAACAAGTAGAAAAAAAGTTTTCTTTGTTATAGATGAGTCTAGTAGAAGAGATAATAGTTGTGAGTGCATTTCATATGACTGTGGATGCTGCCAACACATAGAATGGGATAGAATTGATTTGAATGGAACATGTCAGTATATATCTCATTACTGTCAATAGATTTGAAGTATCTAAACAATTATATCTCTGTACATTATACGTATAATGCATTATGTATAATATATATAATATTTATATTGATGTTTTTTTAACATATAGTATGTGCAAATGCCAGCTACTTGGAACATGATTATGGGATTTCAGTTACACTTACTTATAATAATTATTCTATTATTAATGAAACAGTTTCAGGTAATGTTTTGCATCTTTGAATTTCAATGATGTGTCACATTTAATATATAAGTCTAAATCATTTTTTTTAGCTCGAAACCCACCACCTATTTGTGTAGGAGAAGATGTCATAGATTTGGTTGAAGTTGAAATTTGCTTACGTATTTATGATATAGATGTTGAATGCAATAAGTTTCATGTCTGTTTTGAGATTTTGGGAAAAATCATGAAATTTAAGATCTTGCCAATAAAACTTGGCTGTGTAAATAGCACATTGTTTAAAAAAATCCAATATACAGAAAATAGAGCTATTTCTGACTTGTCACGATTATTTTTGAGAAGAAAGTCAAAAGATTCTACATTACCTCAGGTGATTATGGTATGATTAAAATATATGAGATAAAGACGTACATCTAAATAATGTATACAAGCTATTTCTCTTTAGGTCGTATAGATTCTTATTTAAGTGCATATGTATATACTATATATATTTTTTGTATTTTTGTCTTCACGTAATGAAATCAACTTTTGTTTAAAAAATGCATAATCGCCGTGTGAGAGATGATTTAATATTAAAACGTTATATTCTTTTTTGAATCGAGTGCTTGTTATTTTTTGCATTTTATCCTTACAATATATATTAAAAAATAATCGAATTGGCTATAACATATGCTGTAATTTATATTTTATTTTGCTGTGTACTACATATAAGTCGAATTGCATTAAAGTAAGGTACTGTACATACATTTCCACTAGTGCCACTACCATGGCTACTACTGAGTAACGCATGCGTGGATATCCGTTTAATCACGCTTTGTACACGTTTTACGGTGCTTCTATTATTTCAATGTACTTATATATTAAATACAAATGTTTTATGTAAAAATACAATGTTGCATTTTAACGTGCCAACATGCATAATAAAAAAATGTTCACGTTTACTGACAATATTTAAGAGAAATGATAAATTGCATGAGATAACCTCTTCATATTGTGTACATGTCCGGAAAAGAACCAATGGTCCATGGAGAGTATTATTTTTTGGAACAGATAATTTTGCCATCGAAAGTTTACGAAGTTTGTATAATGAATAGTTAGTATATTATTCACACAAGTTCATTATTTTTTTATAAATTGAAATTGATATTTTATAAACAATTGTATTCTGTACTGTGAGAAAAATGGTGAGAAAAACTTGTGTGTGTATCATATAACAATATATTTATATATAAAATTTTTTAGCAGAACTAAAAACTTATGCCGATTAGAAGTTGTATCAACATATAAAGAGAGAAAAAATGTTGTTGTACAATTTGCGGAAGAAAGAGAAATTATTGTTAATAAATGGCCTCTAGAAAATAATCCACAAAATTTTGATGTTGGCGTAGTTGTCTCTTTTGGTCATCTAATACCATCAAATATTATAAATTCATTTCCACTGTAAGTTGCTTTACATAATTTTAATACACTTGTATTTTTTATAGGTACGTGTATTTATATATATATCTTTTACAATGTATATTATAATATACACTTCGTTTTGTCACAGTGGTATGTTAAATGTTCACGCTAGTCTATTGCCACGATGGAGAGGAGCAGCTCCAATAATTTATTCCTTAATTAATGGAGACACACAGACAGGAATTACAATCATGAAAATAATGCCAGAAAAGTAAATTTTGTTTTTATATGTATTTATCTAAAAAAAACTTTTTAATCCTGGGAGGTAAAAGAGATACTAGAGAATAATATAATATAAATTTACATCAATTCAATATCTAGTACAAAACTTTCATAGATAATATAAGTTTTTTTCTTAACTAGGTAAGAGACAAAGAAGCCGCTTAGAAAATTTTTATTAATTTAAAAATTTTTAAAGTATATGTATGTGTTCATGCACACATACATAGTAATATTTTTTTCTGAAACTACTCGAGTTATGGACATATATAGTTTATTTTTGTCACGTTATAGATTTGACATTGGAGAAATAATAATACAGGAAAAAGTAGATATTTATCCAGACGAAACCTTACCAGAATTGTATGTTAAGTTGGCTAAAGTAGGTGCCAATGTTTTGCTCTGTGTAATAAAACAATTGCCACATATATTATCATTATCAAAGCCTCAAGAAAACATAGGCATAACATACGGTAACTTTATTTTTTCTCTTGTATCAAATAACCAAAAGATATGAAGCTTTCACTGTATCTTGCTGTTTCGCACATTACAGCGCCCAAAGTTTTATCCAAGATCTCTTGGGTAAAGTGGGATGCTATGACGGCGAAGAACGTATATGATCTGTATCGCGGACTTCTAGGATTGTATCCATTAACGACCAAGTTTGATGACAGGACAATAAAATTGTTAGACATCCAGCAGGTGACAAAACCGACAAATGCAATGAATCCAGAAGATGACACGCCGGGTAATTAATCATCATTTATTCCTGATTGAGTGTTTCATTAAACCGATTCCAAGAATTGCAATGATGTAAAACTCTTGGCTTATTCCTAGGAAAGAAATGTGGTGTCATTATCGTTGCACAATATTTTTTAGATAAAATAAATAATTAATGTCTAAAAATTTTCAGGCTCGGTGAAATTTGATAAAATCAGCAAAACATTAATTGTAACATGTAAAGGACTAAGCTGGGTTTCAATAAATAAGATAAGAATAGCAGGTCGTCCAGCTATGAGTGCAGTGGACTTTCAAAATGGATTTATGCGGAATAAAATGCAAAAACAGATACGTTTCCAGAGTGAATTTTGATAGTCGCTTCCGCATAGCAAAAGTCTTTTGTTGTATACTGTAATACAATATCATTTCTTAATATTTACGATACTTTGTTATAATAGTAATATTTAAGAATGTACAATATTAGAACATACACACACAGAATGTATCATCGATATGTTTATCGTGAGAATATAAAAAATTGTTCCATGATCACAGTTTCTCATGTATGAATTTTTAATACATAAAAACTAAGGTTTATATGAAAAATAAAAGCTTATGAACTTACACTAGGATCGCAGTCGGCACAATGCCAGGAATATCCTCTTCTTTTCGGAGATTTTTTCACAGGTGGATCCAAGCACGTAAAGTGATAACATTTTTTACATTCGTCGCATCTAGAACAAAAGTGTCCGATTTAGATCATCATAGTTATTAATATCTTTAAAATACTCACTTAACCAGATTTTGATTGGTTCCAGGATTATCACAGACGTTACACTGCGTCATGAGATCCGTATCTTTATTTCTCTTTGTCCCTGTCGACAATCGACCGCTGCTATTCGCAGACACGTTTATCGGAGATTCGTTTACAGGTGGAATTGGTGGCGGTGGCAATGTGATTTCGGTGCTTGTAGAAGTGGCCACAAACATTTGCGGACTTGATTCCGAAGCTGCATCACCTTCCGGTCGTGGAATCGGTTTTATCTGCGTTTGAAATTGATTAACAATATTCTCTCGAATCGTATAATAAATATGTAGTATCGTAGGTAGGTAAAGAGAAATAAAATACTTTTATCGTAATTCTTCTGTGAATTTCCGGTTGACTTTGAACTTCCGGATTTTCTATATCTAAACTTTTTCTTTTGTGTTTCCTCTTTCTTTGTTTGATTCCAGTTATTGGATCCGGAGAATATCTCTTGTGTTTTTCCCTAAAAATATAAAATTTACATGATTTTATATTTGTGCAAGTTAACAGTAAATTAGATTTTGCTTCTTACGCACACGTACCTCCTTCTTTTCTTTCCACTTCTTTGAGAAACAGATTCTGTCCCATCTGCTGAAGCTACCATATATTCTGGAGAACCTTCTCTTACGGGGATATTATTAATTGATTGTGGATTGTACATCGATTCAGCTGTTTGTGCAAGTTCCATTGATGGTTGTGGGCCCATTGGTTTGATAGTTAACTGCGAATATAAAAATTAATAATTTTTACAAGTTACACGTTAGTATCATCAAGTGCTATCTTTTTTTTACTTATGAGAAAAATACTTTTGGAGTTGTATGTATATCAGGCGTGGTAACATTTAGTACACTATTGGTGGAATTCTTCGATGTAACAGGCATGCTTGGTGTTGCTTGTACATCCTGCATTGGTATAGGAGTTAAATTAACGTCATCTTTACAGTGTCTCAATTTACGAGGCGCCGACGTGTCCACACGTTCCACCTCCGATTCTGAAGATTCTTTATCGCACTCTGAACATTGCCTGAAAATCGATAATTAGATTAACTACAAAAACAAGAAAATTAATAAAATATCTAAAAGGCTCTTCACATATTACCATCCCATTTGTCTGGTTTTCTTAGGCATTCGCGAAAGAGGTGGGCTCAAGCAGAACAAATGATAATGCAAATGACACGTGTCGCACTTTGCTAGAAGATGTTGATTGGTCGATCGTCTGCAAATGCCGCACTGGTGTCGTAAAGTCGTGAGCTCGCTTTTGTGATTTTGTTCCTGCGCTTGGCTACTCAATACCCTACCCTCGCGCAAACCTTCAGCACCTTTACCCACAGGCAATGGAAATCCGACGCCCATTTTCAATGCGGCTGCCGTGGGAACGCCTAATCCCGTACCTACGGAAACACATTTGCGTACTATCTTTCCAAGATTTAAAGTGATACGGTGTGACTTACCCAGTATAGGCGTTATTCTTGGCTTTGCTAAATCAGCGATCGATGGCAAATGTTTCGTGTAACCAGCAGTCTTAAGAACTTGATGATACAGCTCGATCTTTTCCTTCAGTGTCACGTTTATTCTTATCTGCTCTTCATTATCTTTCATTACTTCGTCATACTTTCTGTCCAGTCTCTGTTGTTCGTTCAGTAATTGCGAGTTGATATCGAGGAGTTCTTGTAATCGTCTTTTCATAGACGTTACGCGCAAATTGCGATCCAAATAATAGCCAATAAATTCCACGCTGAAGGCGGGAGCAATGTGCCATTTTTTTCGAACATCTACTAACGCTACCAACTGAGATTCTTGCGCTTCCAATGCGGCTGTATCTACGCCCATCAATTCGGCTTTCCTTGCCAATTGGCGGCAAGCAGAAGCCGACGTAGTTAATAAACGTGGCATTTTTTGTGTGGGTACTGCAATTAACAGGATATGAAGTATATGTGATGTAACAAAAAAACATCTGAAGAAGAAAAACTTTATTTACCCCATGGTGGTGGTCGGGACGCTTTGTGAGCGAGATATTTGTGTCTGTGTTTTGCTAACTTTCTTTGAATTCTTTCTTGTTCTTCCGTGTTTAAGTTATTGGGTTGCTTCAACAACTGTTGTCGATACTGCGCACGCAGTTGTAAGGCTAACCAGTTACGTCTACGCTTACGAACGAGAGATTTGTCAGAATGCAATTTACAATGCGCATAGAATGGATCTGCTTGGTCAACTTCTTCACTATGTGGTTCTGACAGTAAACCTTCTCTTTGCGCGCTGCAAAAAGTTTTTATTTTTTTTGGTGTTCGCAAACAAATGATACAAAACCTATGATGTTCAAATGTGAAACAAAATTATTACCAGGTTACGTGAAAATATGTATGACACATTCCGGCGTCGCACTCGATGCATACGCCTGTGCGAGCGTAACTCGAATCCTCGCACAAAGAACACGTTCTTGCACCCCATTTGGTATACGCCATTTCAAACAATGTTACACTCGACAAACGATCAACCTACACATCAGGTTTACGTACATAACACTTAATAAAATAAATGAGATATAACAGGCGGTGCAATTACTTACTTCACCAAAAGCAACACCGGGTATATAAAGAGAGCAAACCAAATGAACCCATTTCCCGACGTCAGTTTCTTTAAAAATTCCTCCTTGATTAGGACAAAGTTCGCACGATGGATTTTCAACACCTGCACTGCATGCTTCGCAAAACCAAGGTGCTGATTGACATAAAGAATCAGTACTTGAGAAACTCTCTACGTCTGATACACCATAACAACCTAAAATTGTTGAATGTTTGTTTATAAATTTGTATAGTAGGAAATTGACAAGCGCAGAAATAAATTTTTAATTTATACCTTCGTGAACACTAGCTCCACAACCATCACATTCAACGATTTCGTTTATATCATCGCTTCTGTCTCCCAAACAACCACAGCAAATCAGCATTTTATTCAATTTTTCATCAAGAGGTGCACCCTTTAAAGTTTGCTGGCGAGCTTGTTCAATTACATCACCCACAGTTAAGCCAGCATTATCTTTTCCTCTCAATAATGGATCTTCTAAGGAGTCATCAGATTCCTCAGACACATTTTCCTCTTCTTTTACAAAAACAAACAAAAAACATTAAATTTTGGATTACATATATCTGAGCTACATTATCATTATTAAATATAAGTTATAATTTACCTTTTCCAACATTATTAGAATCTACTGAATCATCATCATCATCAGATTCCTCGCAATGATCTTCAATTCTAAAGTCACTGTCATCTGAACTTTCTCCCAAATCGAAATCAAGCAGGGACTGTTGCGCAGATTCAACCGGTTTCACTCTTCTCTTTTTGGGGTCTCTCTCAACTGCAAATAATAAAAAAATGTGCTTAATTTTTCTCAGACAGCTACGTATATATGTACATGTATCTTATAAAACTCTTTATTTTTGTTAATGTTCTAAATTTCTAACTAAAACTAATGTAGAAATAATTTTAGGTTATGTCTGCACTTAATTTTGAACATACATGTGCTACTCATGATATTTTTGTGTATCTTTGAAAACTAATCAAACTAAGAATGTTTTTTTCTTTTCTATAGCATAAGAAACTGTCAATATTCTTCCGCAGCTTTCATCAATTTTGAACACATCATAGTATCACCATAGATATTTGTAAAATGTCTTCCATCACATCAAGCACATCACCAGACATCACTTACAACACACATAGATACATAGACACACATACGTACGTACACGTACATCACACACAGATTACTGAGGATATGTCAGGTTAATATTATGTAAACAAAATTGCAGTCATAAAATAATTATGGTTATCATCATCGTGCATTCGCATGCAAAGGACAAATTAACAGGTTATCATAATCAAAATGCAGATACTAATGTACATTTATTAATAAATTAATAATAATAAAGCAATAATAAAAAATATTAAATTTTGCATAAATACAATGAGCAAATTAGTATATCAGTAATACAAAGACATTAACTGACACTAGAACATTCATATAAAGAGTAACTCACAGTGCATAAGCAGTAGTAAATAAATAAATTTAATAGTAAATTAAATAATATAATACAATTGTTTATAATATAAAATTCTGTGTGTGTACATTTTTTCATAATATAAAAACTATGATGAAGCTATTAAATTTATGTGATGACATAAATTAATATAAAAAAATTGAGTTGTGTACATGTTGAAAAATGTTTACTTTAAGATTATAGGTAGATTTATTAAAGATATAAGTAGACTACAAACATATAATATTAAACGATAAATTACATAATATTGGATGTAAAATTTAATATTTGATGCGTATGTACAAGAATTATATACATATACACATACTCTCAAAATTATATGCATCTTATATTTTATTTGCATTTTGAAGTTTATTCATATTTCTGAAAATGTTACATAGCAATGTTGAGATTTTTCTATGTAACACGTGTGAATTGTTTGCAGATTTTGTTGCCACTTACTCATCGTTTTGTATAAAAATCCGACGTCGTCTTCTTGAGACATTTTTTGACCGCTGTACGAATTTCACATGTGCACATGTATACCCCGCGTCACATGTGTGTGCGCAGTAAGATACAGATTAAAATGCTTCTCTTATATCGGACGGATATTAGGCACAAGTTCCTTGCGCGTCTATTGCCGACGAGAATTCATTCATCCGTATTGAATGAATATCGAGCAATATCGGCAGAAATAGCGTTTCTCAGCGAGAAAGAGAATTATTTTATCACCTGGTATTGTCCTGTCTACAATTTCGTGGATACGACGATGCGGCGCTGATACGCCATGATGCGTTTGTTCGCGAATCCTTCCGCGGGAAGTTTGAGCTCTGATGAATGCGGCAAAACAATTTCGTAAAACTATCCACGTTCGAAGCAATTAAATCGCAAGGTAATCCGAATTACATTACGAAGTGATATCGGCAAAAATGCCTTTTCATCGAATTTTGTCGCTAAAAGAATGACGCATTGTTTCTCACGGAGAAAATATCAATTGAGAAAATATCAATTTTCGTTTTTTCTGCGAGGTATTATTTCACATTTGTGTTATTTTTTGTGCATTATACAAAAATATTGCACAAAAATATTACTGTTTTCACAGTGATATAAATAATTTTTATTGCGTCGCGCGTTGTTATTTATTAATTATTACTCGTTCATATGCAATGAGAAAACGCAGTTGTTGACGTTATAAATTTAATTCACACTGCATATTGCATATTATATTTAATATTAGAGATTGTATTTTTTAAATGTGATATATGTATAGGTTGGTGAATAATCGTAAAATATATTTATAGGATACGCAAATATTGGACATTTTTTTGTATCTTCTATATTTTGCTCCCGAGCAACGTTATTTTTCAATTCTATTTTGATAAACATAAATCTCGTGGAATTTATAATAAAACTGCAGAAACACTACATATAATTGATATAAATAATTTAAATCTTTTGCACTGAAGAGAGTGCAAGAAAAATTATATTTTATGTTTATTTTGTAAATTTGTTTATATATTCTCTTTCTCTCTCTCTTTCTCTCTCTCTCTCTCTCTCTCTCTCTCTCTATCTATCTATCTATCTATATCTCTATCTCTCTCTCTCTTTCTCTCTGTCTTATTAAATCTCGAGGCGCTGAGAACCTTAGATCTCTGAATGCCGCGCTCGATCGTGTCGGGGCGTTCCCCGTAATTTCCGCAGTGGAGTAAAACATTGATGCGCGGCGTGAATGCGTAGAGCATAGATTCGTATACGGGGTGCACGTTAACTCGACATGAAGCATTCATAAGCAGACCGGAATCCTGCGGACCGGCGCGAATCGAGGCCACACGCTTCTCGTCCCGGGCGCCGTGGCGACGACAAAGCGTCTAATCCGCATGCCGATTTCCGGCCCGGTAGTTCTGGGGACGCCCAGACTCCGTCGAATACATCCGTCTTAACGATCGTGGATTATTGAATGCAAATTGATTATCGAATTTCTCGGACTTGCCCGTAGTATCTCTCCCGGATTTGCGGGATATATCCCGCCGACGACGATATTCACGGCCGTTAACGGATCGTTTGGAAGTAATCGCTCCTTCGTCGGGAGTTTCCCCCGGTGGTCGCGAGAAGGCGAAGCGTAATTTTATTACCGTCAAGCGTTATGAAGGCAAGACATATATATATATTCGGGCGTGTTGGGGTCAACCTAGGAAGTAATTGCTCCCTCATTAGATTTCCAAGAAGGTGAAATGCGATTTTATCGCCATATACGTGTAACACACTACCAAGGCTTGTACGAGTTATGGGGTGTAACGAATCGTTTGGAAATAATCGACCCTTCATCAAGTTACCGAAATAGGGAAAATCACTTTCCCAAGGATTTATTTCCGAGTAATATAAATTGAACGGTAAATTTAACTAGAAACTTTGTGAAAATATAATTGCGCTCGAGACAAAATTATTTTATTTTTATATTTCTCACTCGTTACGCGTATTTTTATTTGGTTCACTAAATGCTTTTACCAGCTATTTAAATCTCGATAAATAGATATTAACAATCTTATATTTTCTTACACATATCTTCAAAATTCAATATCTTGTATTTTTACAAATAAATGTAAATGACAAAATACATAGACGTGTGTAATATATAAATAATATAAATAATAATATAATGATATAAATAAAATACATTTATACGCGTGTCTACGTATGGGGATATCTTCGAGCACATGTCTCGCGATGCGCCCGAACGATCTCGTAAAACCGGGTACATTCGATTTCATCGCGAAAACCTCGAGTGAAGCGATCCTAGATTGAAATTGATGTTGGCCCAGAAACTGGCGACAGTCTCTCTGATACAACGTTTCGCCGACACGATCGAACGTATATATCGTCGCACACATGTACAATACATGTCGTATCCGCGCGCATTGCCGCAGAATGGCGACCACGACGACCAGGTACCGGAAGTTATGAATGTTTCATGGAAAGAGCACCTTCCGCAGTTTTGCCAGTTGGTTCTCACGTGAGATTTCGACACTCGATTAGAAGCATCGAAACATTGCGGTATGAATCGGCGAATTTTACAGAAGCGTCAAAAGAGATTTCTCTTTCTCTTCGTGATCTGTAACTTACGCGACAAATACAGCAATCACGTTAAAAGCGTTGATTTTGCATTCCACTATAAGCATTATTCGCAGCTCGATAATATTCGAGGATAAAAAAATTCGGTCATTTAATATTCACAAAAAAAAACATATATTTATCATCTGTAAGATAAACGCGATGTTTTTTTTGTGCGACGACAGGTGCGGTAATCGCGCGTGTGCTCTTCCGTATAATTACGTCTAATGGAGCATATTTCCTCGACTTGTTTGCTCCCGCACCTCCGAGCTGTGTCGCTTCGCAATAATTATTGGCTGCGAGGAGGCCTACGAAGAGAGAGAACAAACGCGTTCATTGTGTGTTGGTCGTCGCGTTGCTCAAACGCACGTTCGGTGTAGAGTCGAATCGCGCGTACAACAAAAGACGATATAATAAGATGCACCGCGCCGTGCGGCAGCGTTCGCCCGTTGCAGCTGCTCGCAATGGCTAATTGCCTGTGCCTCTCTGAAAATTATAATTGGACTGCGCGCAATCAGCGACAACTGCGCCTGGAATTCTTGACGAAGGCCGTTTTAACAAACGGCGTCGCCTTTTCAAATGAAAAAGAACGGTCCAAGTCGTTCAACAAACAAATCGCGCTGTCTGAACTTCGATAGCGAAATTGTTTTGTCATTTTTAATTGTCGTTTTGAAAGCGTGTTAGCAAGAGTATCATTTTAATTATAACATACAAATGTCTCAGTGGCCGGAGATTTATTTTAAAAATTATTAGATACGCAAATATTAATTATAACAATTCTCAACGTTTTAAGTATTTTTTAATAAATTTGCATTTAATAGTTTTTAACTTTTTACATACAGTATGTCTAAAACTTTTGACACACAGCCAAAACACACAAAGATGGACTCGGTCGTTTGTTTCAGACACTCTGAAACAAATAAATATTTCGTTGCAATTATTTCTTCAACAAATGTGTTCGGCCAATGGCACTTGTCCGGTCGTTAGGGGGCATTTACCTTGTAGCTTCTCGTTTTATTTTTATTGAAAAATATTCGGTCGCAAAATATTAGTCATTCGATAAATATACGTTGCGCTGTGTGTTTGTTGTTGTCCTGTTTATATTTATTTAAAGCGATATGACATTTCAACAAACGATAATACGTTTATCGAGCTATTCATCTTCCGTTAACATCGCGGTAGGAAACCAGAAGCCTGACCGAGTGCATATTGTGTATAAAGTGAGAGCGAAAAGCACGTAACAATTATTATCTGACACTGCCGACAAAGTAACGCGTTTGTCGCTGACAGGAAAGGGCCGTAATCCGAACTGAGGAAAGTTGTCAGTGTCGTGCGCTAATTATAAGTTGGTTAATTGCGAAGTGGACTCTCTCTCTCTCTCTCTCTCTCTCTCTCTCTCTCTCTCTCTCTCTCTGCGAGGTCATACGTGTTAGATAGTGGCTGGAGGAAGTTAAATTTGAGATCAGCGATCGCACTTTTTTCCTATTGCGGATCAAAGGTGCGCGCGATACTTGCGTAAAAATTAGGCATTTTTATTTTGACAAAGTTATTACATCCAAGATCCTTGCATTAACATTAGAAACATTGTCGATGCTAACCGACGATGGTTTGCGAGTAGCGACGCCTTTGATCTTTCAACGACCGTACACCAGCCAGCTTCGTATACGAAAACTATGAGAGTTTACGTAGGAGGTTCCTCCAGATTCCGCTCGCCACTTGGTATTTTCTCTCCGCGGTATTTCACGCACTATTAGTCCCCGGCTAAGGAAAAAAAAGTGAATTTCTTGCTACCGTAACAAGAGTAGACGGTACCTACTGCCAACAACTCGACCCCGAGCATTCGACCCCGAATGTTTGGCAGCGGTAAATAACCTGATCTCTCGGTGAAGTCAATGCCTAGGGGCAAGAGAACTTGAAGTAAGAGACCTGGAAAGTAGCCTAGGAGAAATTAAATAACTTGAAAAAAACTATTATTCAGCATCGCAGTAGCGGAAGTTCGGTAAACGAGTAGCAAATTTAAAAAAAATATTGATTCATCAGTAAAAGAGAACAAATACCGAAGAGAGCCGAGCATTATGCGGATGCGGAATAACATTGCGGAAGTTTAATTATTTGAATTAAATTTATTTCAAAAAAGTCTATATCGAATGCTTGAGATTTGCATCAGGTATATAGAAATAACCCTTTTATTCCCATAGTAAAAAAAAAAAATCATCGCTTTTACCCTAGCCACATTTTTTAGAGTTCAATTCATTAGAAAGCCTGGTGCGATTTTTATATAATTTGTATATTTGATAAAAAAAAAAAAAAAAGAAAACAATATACAAAACATCGATTAAAAGAACTAAAATCTGATATTTTAAAATCTAAAGGTTTTTGAATGGGTCTCTCTCGTACTGTGTGCAAAAAATAAAAAAAACAAAAAAAAACATCGCGTAATCGTGAATATTAAAACTCTGTAATAATTAAAACGTGTGATTGCAGGAGGATTTTGGTTAGTTTTTTGTCAAAATTTGTTTGTGAATCAACGACTTGTTCCAGTTAGATCACAAAGGCTGATACGATGCTGCAAAAAACACAGTGACTGTGTTTTTTTTTTTTTTTTTTGTGTTTGTTTTTTTGCAATGTCGGTCGAACGCTCCCTTTGAGATAAACGAATTGAAAAATGATTTTTTGACGCG